TTTTGTCCATTATCTTAGAAATGGGTCCAATCCTCACTTCTTTCACTTCTCTCAAGTCCACCAAACCATCCATTCCTGACTTCATGTCCACCGAACCGGTCGTCCAAACGAGTTGTCGGGTCTCTAACGACACGAAAAATGTCTTCCTCTCCGGCTTTCCTTTATTGTAGAATTTGGTCAAAACGGATCCGCTCTGAAGACGTCTAATAATGCCCGCCATCTCTTTAGAAGCGGCCGAAAAGGACATCCCGGCGCCGATGGCACCGGCACTCCAGTGACTTCTCGTCGAGCCATTCATTGGTGTCGTTCACTGAGTGGTCACCCTTTGGACACAACCACTGGATTGAGTGACAAGTGATGACAATATGTGATAACTCGATGGCAACACTGTTTGACAGCTACTGTGTTGACACAAACATGGAAATGTGACACACCATGGATCAGATGATCAGATGATCACTTGATCACTTTCATGAAGTATTCACTGAAACACTGTATTAAGTACTGTATTATTAAGTAATAAAAGTTTGTATGAAATAATCAAATGTTAAATAATGTATTCATTGTTGTGTTTGGGATTTGTTTGGAAACAGGTTTTCATGCATTCACTGCACACTTGTCTCACATATGATGTGATTTCCAATGCATGAAACAACACTATTGGACGCAGTATTGAAGGCCGCTATCACTTCACCCCTGCATTCATGTGTAGTCATAGAGTCATAGAGTCTATCATAGAGTGTGACATCACTTCTCAGTTGATCACTACTTCTTCCACTTCTTCTAACCAATTGCTCATAAATTCATTGTTTGACTATATTTGCGATTTACAAACACTTGAAAACTACAGTATTTGCTATTCATATGAAAAGAGTCAATATTAGCAAAGACTAGCTTTGCATTCACTACCAATTCTGGTATTGAAAGTTATTGAAGCATCACTTGAATGTCTGAATATTACTTAAGTTATGGTATAAAACATTAATTTATCGATTGATTCACCGCTTGATTCAATCGATGATTGACATAAAGTTATGGTTTATCACGAATAGCATAACACAATCACTTAATCACATCCTCACATCCATTTCATAATAGTCTCGTAATCCTTGAACAAAACTATTGATATCTTATTCTGTAATATCACTTACAATAGGATATTCTCTACAATATTTACAGAGAAATTAATTTCTAAATACAACACACAATAACTTTATTTATTTGCTTAAGTTTTATGGTTTATTTATTGTTGTAATAACTGAGAATAATATGTTCATATCGGATCGTTTATAGCTAATTACTGTAACGATAAGTTCAAATAAGAAACAAATGTTTTACAAATATATGGCTTATTATAACAGAATATTTTATCAAAAGCTTTTAAATAAAATAACATTTTAAATGAGGTCTAATTTATTTGTAATCATTTGTAGTAAAATAGTGTTAATTACAGCACTTGTCATAAACATTTTAATTATTAATATTTAAGAGTAAAGACAATTTACTGCTTATATTTGCCACATGAGTGAAGAATATTCATTTGTTTTGTAGAATTTACGGTTCTTTAAGTTAGTTTAAAAATGCAATAATTATAAAATAAATGTTTTATTTGTATTAATTATAATTTAAATCTCAATTCGTATTTTAAAAATTATAGGTACCGGTAATTGTAACCTGGTTTTTATTTAATATTACTATAATTTATTAATGAATTTAAACACAATTAAATTGAAAACAATGAAAATAAATCTCAAATTATCAAAATGATCTGTATAATTCTAAACAAAATATGAACAAATGAATTATGGTATGTATCTTATTATACAAAATGTCTGTGAATGGGAGTGTGTTCATCATCTTCATCGTCATCTATTTCATAGACACACCTCCAGTCCCGGGTCTCTAACCGATGCAATCCCGACACTTTCCACTGACAGAAGTCTAACAAATTATTACAAACTCCACGACTATTGACAACAAATATAAAAAAAATATTAAAAACGCATAAAATATAAAATAATTGTAATACTATTTACTTAAAAGGACTAATAGGCGCGCCGTTATCATCGCGTTTAAAATGCTTATAACGCCGACAATTCATGCGCTCGTTTGTAGTCATTCCTAACCAAACGACCTGTTTATACAACATATGGAATGTATAATTAATTTCATACAGAATTTAATGGGAATCTAATAAAATCTAAATCACTTGATAGAGTTGACACCAAACCAAACAGAAAACCCAAATACTATGAACGGCGGCGTTGAGGGCACACCATGTAATCCATCCATTATAAGTCCACGCGTTGGCTATAAATGTCCAAACATTGGTGTCATCACCAAAATGGATGTGATGTTCGTAATCTGAAGCCAAAAATATGTTAACTTCTTATGGCAAACATATCATCAAAATAACTCAATTCTCACATAAATAAGTGCCGTAGAGAAACCATACAATCACTAAATACAGTGAAATGAGATACCATATGAAGTACTTATGATTGAGAGCACCCACACAGTTGGCGACCCACGGGCAGTGGTGGTCAAAACGGGCCACACATTGGTTACAGATTGAGCAGTGCTTTGATCGCAAGGGCTTTCGTATTAAACAAGTGCTGCAAAACCACTGCGGGTCGAACCCATCTCTTTCCGCTAACTCTATAATTGTCTGTATATTTCATATAAAATAATTATCACAAATATATGACCACAGGTTCACAGGCGTAGAGACTGACTCGATATCGTTGGTCGTGATCTTTAGCCACAACTCCGGGATCACAACTACACGTCCGGTAAAAGCTGTAGAAAAGCAGTGTAGAAGTGGCCACAAATCCAAACAAATTAATAAAACCAAAATCTAAACGAGAGAAATGCTTTTTACAAGAGTTTTAGAAATACATGATTTCATACATTTGTAGAAATATGTAATGAAAGTGACGTAAAGCCAGAATTTGGTCGACAAATAGATACTGATAGGCATTATGTTATACATGCGATCGTCAAACATAAAGCGAACCAAAGCCCACATCACGAGACATAAGAGAGAAAAGAAAACAATCTTCAAAGCGATCACTAGTTCCGAGTCGAAGAGTTGTCCGAAAAGCAGAAATCCCACTAAAGGGGAGCCATTCATAAGCCATAGCCTGCAGACCCTGTCTCTGAGCGATGGAATGCGGATCTGTTTGCCAAACAAATGACAAGAAGTCAAGACTCTGTCCTTCTTATAGGCGTCTTGTAATCGAGTTCTGATCCAAACGGAAGCATTCAATCTGTTGGCCATCTCTAATGGTGTGTCTCCGGCGCCGTTCTTTGCCAACACATTAGCGCCTGATTTCAATAGCAATGAAACGGTTGACGCGTTTCTCGAGAAGACGGCCCAATGGAGGGCTGTATTGCGGTTCTGTTTATCACATAATGAGAGACTAGCGCCTAATGTAATGAAGAGTCGCGTCGGATCGGCCCTAAAACACACCAATACATCGATATATCATTGCAGTGACAGTCAAACATCACTTCCAGTCATGTCTTACGCGTTCACTCTGAAGGCCGACCACATCAATGGTGTCATTCCGTTGGCATCGGATGCGTTGATATCCTGACCCTTGGCTAACAGATACGCGGCAATGGATGTGTGACCGAACTGTGCCGCCAAATGCAGACAATTTGTGCCTATCATTCAACACAGCGTTAGTCTCGCTGCACAACAGAGTGGTGTCAATACCTTCGCCATCAAGAATGGCTGGATCTGCTCTGTGATGCATAAGCAGTATAACCATCGGGAGGTGACCCTGTCGTGTGGCCCAATGCAATGGCGTTGACTGGAGATCGCCGCCCACGGCGTCAACATTGGCTCCCTTTCCGATGTAATACTTCACTAAATCTCTTCTGTTATTAATGGCCGCCCAATGAAGAAGTGTTACGTTTTCGGCGTCTCTTTGGTTGACATCGAAACCGCTTTCAACGAGTTCTTTGCATCTCTCGAAAGCGCCGTATTGTGTGGCTCTCACCACATCCAAGTCACTGACATCCCTGGCCACCGATACGTCGCCCCCACCCGACGGCTCACTCCCCGATGGCTCACTCGCTCCCCCTCTCAGTGGCGGCACTTGCCTCTCATCCGTGGCCTCCGACTGCAAAGCAAACGCAAATCAATTGAGTGTCAAGTGATGGCAAGTGATGGCACGTGCGGTCACTGTGCGCACAGACCTGCGGCCGGGAACTGGATGTCAAATATAGGGCCGAACAGGGGTTGGGCTCCTCTTCCGCACCGTCTCCTCTCATCCCAACAATCAATCAGTCATTTGTTACGCAATTAATCGATGTATTCAGTGATCAGTTTCATCGACAACACAACCCTTCGCACAGTTATCTCACAATTGATTCAATGATTTAATAAACACTGAAATCAATGTAAATGTGATTTAAATGTAAAACCAATTCATTTATTCAATAAATATCTCATTTATACGTCAATTCCAATACTTATATAATGTTATCATTTTCTCCCATTTATTGCCTCCCTTTACATAACTCTCGCGTAATCTTCACTCCAAACGCTAATAAACCGAATGACACAACACTTCCCTTCCATACGACACGATATGTATGAACGGTATGACTAACGGGTGAAGTAACAGAAAGTTCCATAAGTAGTGTCACATAAATAATGCTTTCATTGGTTGACAGCAATGGCATTGAAATGCAGTGTTCGGGGAGTGAATGGTTGACAACATTATTAGTGTTCACTGAATGGAAAGCATGTCTNTCACTTGAATACAAAGCCACTACAATGGGTAACGTGTTGGCCAGTGCACCCCCACCCCCACCCCCACCCCAGTTGGCACCCACACCACCAGCGACTCAGACACCGGCCGATGTGAGCGCCGGTGACAACGACCTGAACCCGGGATCGATGGAAGAGCTGCACAAGAAGTGCAAAGGTTTGGTCACTGCCTCTAACTATGCCATCAATTGATGACTTGCTTTGAATGCAGAGGTGTTTCCGATGCCCTTCGATGGCGTGCGAGTGGTGATCACGAAAGGGCTGAGCAATCACTTTCAGTTGACTCATACCCTCAATATGTCGAACGGGGTGTCCGTCCCATCGGGCTATCGGTTCGGCGCCACATATATCGGCACTAAACAGACGTCGCCCACAGAGGCCTATCCCATACTGTACGGCGAGGTGGACCCCCAGGGGAACCTCACCTCCAGAATACTGCATCTGTTTGGCGATCGCGTCAAAGTACAAGCCGGCGCTCAGATCCAGGAGTCCAAGTGCGTGATGGCACAACTCACCACCGACTACAGGGGCCGCGACTTCACCGCATCCCTCACTTTAGGCAACATTGACTTAATTAACTCGTCCGGAGTGGCAGTCCTTCACTACTTGCAAAACGTTAGTGAAAGAGTAGCCTTAGGGGGAGAACTCGCCTATCAATACGGCCCACAAGTGCCCGGATATGAAATCGCCGGTAATTTACACTTTAAATCAATATATCTTCAACTGAATAGCGATTGAGTGTTTGATTGCATTACAGCGCTATCACTGGCCGGTCGCTACTCGTCTCCCAATAGTTTCACATTAAGCGGAACTTTAGGCAATACCGGCGCTCATCTCTGTTACTATCAAAAGGGTGGCGAAAACATTCAGGTATGCAATGGACTATCACTTGAGAATGTATTGGCTATTAATAATTGATTACATTTTGTCTATGAATAGGTTGGCGTAGAAGTGGAGACCAACCTAAGAGTGGCAGAGAGTGTGGCGACCTTTGGATATCAGGTGGATCTGCCCAAAGCCAACCTCATGTTCAGAGGTCTGTATGGGTTATTAGAAATGAATTGTTGTGATTGTATAGCGATTGATGTGATGACAGGTATGGTTGACAGCAACTGGACGATCGGCGCTGTGTTGGAGAAGAAACTACTGCCCCTCCCGTTCACGTTCGCACTGTCGGGTCAGGTGAACCACGTGAAGCATGCGACCAGAGTCGGGGCCGGACTTTATTTAGGTTAATAGGCATTCAATTAATAGACTATTGCATCCCCACTAGTAGTCATAGAAGTCATTAAAATTTATTTTAGCATTTCTTTTATTAAGAAATATTTCGATTGATTATATATTATATAATTTTAGTTGAGTTCGACTCCAGTTTCTCTTAATTTTAAGGGACACTTGAAATTTGTTGTAAACATTTTTTGTATTCATTTCTAATTTGATTGCTTTTGTTATCAATCAAAAGTATTTTATAATATAAAAATTAATTTTCAAGTAAAAAATTCAATAAATTAATGAATAAAGTTATTATCGTTTTACTCGTTGATAATTTCCTAAATGTTTATTTAAACACATTTTAATTACAGTATTGTATAATTCATATAATACCTGAACTGTATATAAAAAGTTTGCATAGTTTTACCGGTACTACTCGTACCGCAATGTCTTAATTCAACTTAAATTATATTAAATCTTTTAATACATTTGTAAAATTCGTTAATAAAATAAACATTTTGTTTAAAGAAGTTACTTTACTAACACCAGAGTTGAGATGTGTTATCTGAGTTATGAATTAACTAAACCAAATTGAGAAAAACGATGACAGAAGACATTCTCGGATCCAAACTGTATGCACTCATTACAGCACTTTTGTCTCTCATGTTGGACCCATTGGTCTCATTATTTGGTGAATGCCAAGGTTTGTAAGAAACCAACCAAACCTTTGGTTTATTTCGCTGCCTACCCTTCTCCAAAACTTTCCAGAGACTCTTTCGGTAACTCTTATACATCTCTAACCGCTTATGCTACCGTTAACACCATGACTTCTTGTATTCGCTGCAATCAAAGTTCAACTTCTTCTTGAAGTCAGACAACTGTCTCTCGAGTGTCGCCGTGTCTCTGGTGTCCAACACAACACTCGCGCACTTCACTCGATGTCCGCCGACTGTGAGGACGAGATTGTCGAGCATTCGGTCTTCTTTGGGCTCACTTTTAGTCATATGTTTGACGACATTGACGTCTCCGCCACCGAATGCCACGCGAGGGCCCATCCTCTCCATCAGGCTTTCCATCATTTCTTTGTTCTGCTGACCGATGGCTGCACTCAACTGAACTGTATTTCGATTGAAAACTTTCGACGACTGGAAAAAGAGGACACACTTGACGCCATCCCTTTGGATACTTTGGCAAAACAGCGGCGATTTGATGTGACGATAGGCTCGTACTTCTACGCCATCGAAGTGTGGGATCAATAGACAGGACATACACGGATAGGATGTTCTTCGGACTGCCTGTCCTCCATTGGACTGATTGACATAATTGGTTAGACTTCTGAAC